GTTGGAGACAGCAGAAAAAAACATGAGCCATTTCTTCCCAGGTGGCCCTCCAGAGTAAACAGTTGGTGGGTGACTGCGGTACAAGCATCTGAGGACAGTCACACGGAGCAGGAGCTGGAAGACATAAATATGCCTAACAAAGCAATAATAAGCAATGAAATTGACTCAGTAATAAAGAACCTAGCAACTAAAGCCCAGGACATGATGGATTCACTGCTGAATTCTAAAAAACTTTTAAGAGTGATATATCACCAATACTCCCCAAGATCTTCACATTCAAAGGGATGGAGTGCTCCCAAATCCATTTATGGAAGCCTGTATCACCCTGATCCAAAAGGCAGATAAAGACCCAACTAAAAAAGAAAACTTTAGGCCAATCTTGCTTAAGAACATAGATGTAAAAATCCCCAACAAGATATTAACAAATAAAGCACTGCACATTATCAAAAAGATGATACATCATGATCAGTAAATTTCATCCCAGAGATGCAAGGATGGTTCAACATACATAAGTTAATAAATGTAATACATCACATAAATAGGATCAAGGTAAAAAATCATAAGATCATATCAATAGATGCAGAAAAGGCCTTTGACATAATCCAACACCCTTCATTATAAAGTCCCTGAAGAAAATAGGCAGAGAAGAACCATACCTAAATAGGATAAAGGATATTTACGACAAACCAATAGTTAGCATCATACTAAATAGGGAAAACTAAAAGCATTACCCTTGCTGGGGATGTAGCTCAGCAGCACAGTGCCTGCCTGGCAAGTGTGTGGCCCTGAGTTCAATCCCTGGTACCAATCAATCAGTCAAACAATCAATAAAAGCATTACCCGTAAAATCAGGAATAAGACAAGAATGTCTACTATCACCTCTTCTATTCAACATAGTACTTGAAACAGCCAGAGCAATTAGGCAAGAGAAAGAAAAGAAATACACATAGGAAAGGAAAAATGCAACATATCATTATTGGCAGATGACAAGATGCTCTACGTAGAAGACCCAAAGAACTTCACACACAAAAAAATCTCTTAGAATTAATAACCAACTTCAGGAATATAGCAGGATACAAGATCAACACACAAAAATCATTAGCATTTATGTACACCAATAATGAACTTGATGAGAAGGAAATTATGAAAATAATACCATTCACAGTAGCTTCAAGAAAAAGAAAATATCCAGGAATTAATCTAGCCACAGAAGCGAAAGACCACCACAAAGAAAACTACAGTACTCTGAAGAAGGAGACTAAAGAGGACATCAGAAAATGGGAAAATGTCCCCTGATCCTAGAACAAAAACTGACACATGTATCAGTGGAACACAGCTGAGGATACAGAAACCTCCCCAGACATATTCAACTATCTGATCTTTGATAAAGTGAAAGTATATGTTGGAGGAAAGATAGCCTATTCAACAAATAGTGTTGGGAAAACTGATTATCTGTTTGCAGAAGAATAAAACTGCACCCTTCTCTCTCTCTCTCACTATATATTAAATTAAAATCAAAATAGATCAAAGATCTAAAAATTAAAACAGAAACATTAAACCTTCTGATAGGTAAAATACTTAAAGACATTGGTGTA